CACTAGAACAGGTCCAGCTAGTTAATGGTTCTGATCCATCCTGAGCTTCTGCAGGTTAACTAGCAGCACTAGAACAGGTCCAGCTAGTTAATGGTTCTGATCCATCCTGAGCTTCTGCAGGTTAACTAGCAGCAGTAGAACAGGTCCAGCTAGTTAATGGTTCTGATCCATCCTGAGCTTCTGCAGGTTAACTAGCAGCACTAGAACAGGTCCAGCTAGTTAACGGTTCTGATCCATCCTGAGCTTCTGCAGGTTAACTAGCAGCACTAGAACAGGTCCAGCTAGTTAATGGTTCTGATCCATCCTGAGCTTCTGCAGGTTAACTAGCAGCACTAGAACAGGTCCAGCTAGTTAACGGTTCTGATCCATCCTGAGCTTCTGCAGGTTAACTAGCAGCACTAGAACAGGTCCAGCTAGTTAATGGTTCTGATCCATCCTGAGCTTCTGCAGGTTAACTAGCAGCACTAGAACAGGTCCAGCTAGTTAATGGTTCTGATCCATCCTGAGCTTCTGCAGGTTAACTAGCAGCACTAGAACAGGTCCAGCTAGTTAATGGTTCTGATCCATCCTGAGCTTCTGCAGGTTAACTAGCAGCACTAGAACAGGTCCAGCTAGTTAATGGTTCTGATCCATCCTGAGCTTCTGCAGGTTAACTAGCAGCACTAGAACAGGTCCAGCTAGTTAATGGTTCTGATCCATCCTGAGCTTCTGCAGGTTAACTAGCAGCACTAGAACAGGTCCAGCTAGTTAATCTGTTTAAATCCAGTTTGATCACATTTTATGAATATAAAGACTAATTTAATGAATATTTTCAAAGCATCTTTATATTCATGGCGGTTTAAAGTGAAATGTCCTTTTTTTGACCTATAATAGTCTTTCTCCTGTGTTTGTCTTTCCAGACCTCCTGCAGGTTGGGAAAGAGGAGGATTTCTCTGAGCAGCAGCTCTGGAAACAGGAGAGGAATTCCAGTTTGGACCAAGAGGAACCAGAACCTCTGCAGATGAAAGAAGAGCAGCTAAAGCCAGAAGATCCCTGGACTAAAGAGGAAACCATGGAGCTCCCCATCAGTGAGCAGGAGGAGCAGCTGCTTCTCAAGCAGGAGGAAGGAGAGACATTTATGACAGAAAGGGACCACATTGAACCAATCAGGAACCAAGTCATCTGTCAGGACTTTAGTGGCCTTCAGGACCAGGAACCAGAAGAAATTGATCCTAAAGACTCTGGATCAGATGAAGGATCCAAACAGAATCAGAGATGTCAGAAAACATACAAAGGACGGAAGATTTATGAGTGTCTGTCCTGTGGGAAAAGCTTTACTAATAAAACTGCACACAACAGACACACAAGAATTCACACAGGTGAGAAGCCGTTCTCCTGTTCGACTTGTAGCAAAAGTTTTACTCGAAAAAGTAGTTTGAATGAACACATGAGACTTCACACAGGCGAGAAGCCTTTTACCTGTCTGTCCTGTGGGAAAAGCTTCACTCTTAAAGGTAATCTTGAGCAACACATCAGAACTCACACTGGTGAGAAACCGTACTCCTGTAACATTTGTGACAAAAGATTTAGTCAGAAAATTTGTTTGACGGAACACATGTTAACTCATTCAGATGAGAGACCTTTTTCATGTGAGGCCTGTGGGAAAACATTCAAAAGAAGAGATTTTCTGAATGAACACATGAGAACTCACACAGGGGAGAGGCCTTTCAGATGTCCGTTCTGTGGGAAAAGCTTCATTAAGAAGTCTAATCTGGATAGACACATCCCAGTTCACACAGGTGGACACCGTTCTAATGTACGATTCATGGAAGGAAATGTAATAAAGAAAAAGATTTGACGCTTCACATCAGAAATCACCACAATGAGACGCCACAGGAACGAACAGGAGACCTTTTCCATGTTTGACTGGTGAGAAAAATGTCCGTCTAGAAACTCCTTCACCTCATTGGATGAGAAACTCCCACTTTAAAGGTTGTTTTCTAGCAAGATTACTGGAGGCAGTAATCTACTGTTTACATGGAAACTAGAACAGATGAGGCCTGTTAGTATAAACCTGATCAATATTTAAACTATGAGACACCAAAGGAAAGGAAAGGTTATATAGCAGCATCTGGATCAGCCGTCTGATCTACTTTCTATAGTTCTAGTGAGGACGCAGGCAGCAGCATCTGGATCAGCTGTCTGATCTACTTTCTATAGTTCTAGTGAGGACGCAGGCAGCAGCGTCTGGATCAGCTGTCTGATCTACTTTCTATAGTTCTAGTGAGGACGCAGGCAGGATCTACTGTATGCTAACACATCTGTGTTCAAACCGCAGAGAACCAGCTGAGAAACGCAGAGTGAGGAGATGAGGAAGCTGAAGAAGCTCTGAGGGAAGATCTCTGTGCTTCTAATAAACTGGACATCAATAGCATCACAGACTCCATCACCCATTACATTAACTGCTGTGTGGACGACACTGGGCCTATCAGAAAGGTTCCTCACTTCTCCAACAACAAACCAAGGATCCACCCTGAGTTCTCTGAAGAAAAGAGGAGATCCTTTAGATCAGAGAACAAGCAGGAGCTGAGAGCCGCGCAGAAAGAACTGAAGAAGAACATCATGAGAAGAACAGCTACAAGAAGAAGATGGAAGATCAGCTGCAGAACAAGATTAGAGGGAAAACCTGAAGACGATCTCAGACCAAAGTTAGATCATCCAGGCTGCTGGAGACCTGCAGCTGGTTAATGATCAACTGCTTTGATCAGCCAGCCAGTCCTCCCCCAGCCCAGAACCCCCTGCTGGTACCTTCATCCTCTTCAACCACTGACTACTTCAAACCTCCCAGCTACCAAGCATCATCCACCCCCCCACTCCCAGGTTTCCATTGCACAGCCCACCCCTCCCCCGCCATCCTGTCGCTTTGGTCAGCACAGATGAGGAATGAGCTTCTAAAGATGGACTGAAAGGTCCAGATGGCATCACCTCCAGGCTTCTGAGATGTTTAGCAGATGAACTGTGAGGCATCTGGGGCTACATGTTCACCTGAAGCCTGAGGCTGGAAGAAGAACCACCGCTGTGGAAGACCTGTTGTGTGGTAGATAAAACATCTAAACGACCTCAGGAGCTACAGGCTGGAAGCTGGAAGAGCTACAGGCTGGAAGCGCTACAGGCTGGAAGAGCTACAGGCTGGAAGAGCTACAGGCTGGAAGAGCTACAGGCTGGAAGCGCTACAGGCTGGAAGAGCTACAGGCTGGAAGCGCTACAGGCTGGAAGAGCTACAGGCTGGAAGCGCTACAGGCTGGAAGAGCTACAGGCTGGAAGAGCTACAGGCTGGAGGTGCTACAGGCTGGAAGCGCTACAGGCTGGAAGCGCTACAGGCTGGAAGAGCTACAGGCTGGAAGCGCTACAGGCTGGAAGCGCTACAGGCTGGAAGCGCTACAGGCTGGAAGAGCTACAGGCTGGAAGAGCTACAGGCTGGAAGAGCTACAGGCTGGACGTGCTACAGGCTGGAAGCGCTACAGGCTGGAAGCGCTACAGGCTGGAAGAGCTACAGGCTGGAAGCGCTACAGGCTGGAAGCGCTACAGGCTGGAAGAGCTACAGGCTGGAAGAGCTACAGGCTGGAAGAGCTACAGGCTGGAAGAGCTACAGGCTGGAAGCGCTACAGGCTGGAAGAGCTAAAGGCTGGAAGCGCTACAGGCTGGAAGCGCTACAGGCCGGAAGCGCTACAGGCCGGAAGCGCTACAGGCCGGAAGAGCTACAGGCTGGAAGCGCTACAGGCTGGAAGAGCTACAGGCTGGAAGAGCTACAGGCTGGAAGAGCTACAGGCTGGAAGCGCTACAGGCTGGAAGAGCTACAGGCTGGAAGCGCTACAGGCTGGAAGAGCTACAGGCTGGAAGAGCTATAGGCTGGAAGAGCTACAGGCTGGAAGAGCTACAGGCTGGAAGAGCTACAGGCTGGAAGCGCTACAGGCTGGAAGCGCTACAGGCTGGAAGAGGTACAGGCTGGAAGCGCTACAGGCTGGAAGAGCTACAGGCTGGAAGAGCTACAGGCTGGAAGCGCTACAGGCTGGAAGCGCTACAGGCTGGAAGCGCTACAGGCTGGAAGCGCTACAGGCTGGAAGAGGTACAGGCTGGAAGCGCTACAGGCTGGAAGAGCTACAGGCTGGAAGAGCTACAGGCTGGAAGCGCTACAGGCTGGAAGCGCTACAGGCTGGAAGCGCTACAGGCTGGAAGCGCTACAGGCTGGAAGAGCTACAGGCTGGAAGAGCTACAGGCTGGAAGCGCTACAGGCTGGAAGCGCTACAGGCTGGAAGCGCTACAGGCTGGAAGAGCTACAGGCTGGAAGCGCTACAGGCTGGAAGCGCTACAGGCTGGAAGAGCTACAGGCTGGAAGAGCTACAGGCCGGAAGAGCTACAGGCTGGAAGAGCTACAGGCTGGAAGAGCTACAGGCTGGAAGCGCTACAGGCTGGAAGCGCTACAGGCTGGAAGCGCTACAGGCTGGAAGAGCTACAGGCTGGAAGAGCTACAGGCTGGAAGAGCTACAGGCTGGAAGAGCTACAGGCTGGAAGCGCTACAGGCTGGAAGCGCTACAGGCTGGAAGAGCTACAGGCTGGAAGCGCTACAGGCTGGAAGCGCTACAGGCTGGAAGAGCTACAGGCTGGAAGAGCTACAGGCTGGAAGCGCTACAGGCTGGAAGAGCTACAGGCTGGAAGCGCTACAGGCTGGAAGAGCTACAGGCTGGAAGCGCTACAGGCTGGAAGAGCTACAGGCTGGAAGCGCTACAGGCTGGAAGAGCTACAGGCTGGAAGCGCTACAGGCTGGAAGAGCTACAGGCTGGAAGAGCTACAGGCTGGAAGCGCTACAGGCTGGAAGAGCTACAGGCTGGAAGAGCTACAGGCTGGAAGAGCTACAGGCTGGAAGCGCTACAGGCTGGAAGAGCTACAGGCTGGAAGAGCTACAGGCTGGAAGCGCTACAGGCTGGAAGCGCTACAGGCTGGAAGCGCTACAGGCTGGAAGCGCTACAGGCTGGAAGAGGTACAGGCTGGAAGCGCTACAGGCTGGAAGCGCTACAGGCTGGAAGAGCTACAGGCTGGAAGAGCTACAGGCTGGAAGCGCTACAGGCTGGAAGCGCTACAGGCTGGAAGCGCTACAGGCTGGAAGAGGTACAGGCTGGAAGCGCTACAGGCTGGAAGAGCTACAGGCTGGAAGAGCTACAGGCTGGAAGCGCTACAGGCTGGAAGCGCTACAGGCTGGAAGCGCTACAGGCTGGAAGCGCTACAGGCTGGAAGAGGTACAGGCTGGAAGCGCTACAGGCTGGAAGCGCTACAGGCTGGAAGCGCTCACTTCACACCTGCTCTCAGCTCCATCCAGCCAGGACTCCAAGCTGGAGCTGTCAGCAGTGGACCAGCAGAACATGTCCCAGTGGGTTCTGGACTACCTCACTGGCTCCCACAGTGTGTGAGGACACAGGGCTGTGTCTCGGATAGGTTGGTCTGCAGTATGGGGGTCCCACAGGGAACAGTGCTGGAACCGTTCCTCTTCACCCTCTGCAGACGTCTCCATCAGCTCCCCACGCTGCCACCACCAGACCTCTGACCTTTCTGCCATAGCTGGCCTCATCACAGGTGGAGACGACTCAGAGGACAGACAGTGGACCCAGAACTTGGTGGTCTGGTTCCAGCAGAACCACCTTCTAATGAATGCAGGGAAAACCAAGGAGCTAATGTTGGTTTGTTGCAGAATCAGATCCACCCACTGCCACTGGTGGACATCCAGGGACGGACAGTGAGGTAGTGGACTCTGATAAATACCTCAGTGTTCACCTGAAGAACAAACTGAACTCCCAGCACTGAGGCTCTGGATCAGAGCAGACTCTACCTGCTGTGGAGACTGAGGGGGGGGGGCTCCTAAAGACCTCCTCTGACTCTGCTGTGGCGTCAGCCATCTTCTATGGAGCTGTCTGTTGGAGCAGCGGCTCATCTGGAGCTGAGAGGAAGCGGCTGGATCAGCTGGTCAGGAAGGCCAGCTGTGATTGGATGCCCTCTGGACTCAGAGCAGGAGGTGGAAACAGACGGATCCTAACTAAAGGAGTTCAGCTGGTGCTGAACTGGACAGCTCCTCCAGTGACAGACTGCTGCACCTTAAATGCACCAGGGAGCGTTATCACAGATCCTTCCTCCCAGCAGCTGGAAGACTCTAGAACCACCACTGTTCCCAGCAACCTCAACCAGTTCTTCCATTCATGCTGATTCTGCTCAGTTTCTACCTTAGTCAGTTAAATAACCTGCTGCTGTCATTCTGCACATCTCTGATGTTGCTGCTATTTTCTAATTACTGTAAAAATGTCCATAGCTGCATATTGGTTGGGTTAGGGTTTATTGTTGTTTATTCTCTTTATTCTTTCATTCTGATACTGTATATTCTTATACTTTTTTTAAGGTCCACATTTGTTTGAACACCTTTGCTTTAATCCTTTGAGGCTGCTGTAAGACCACAATGTCCCCATTGTGGGACACTAAAGGGATTTTCTATTCTATGATGTGTTTTCTATTCTCTGTGCCAGTGTTTCTGACCATATGAGCAAAAACACTGTGAAACTCATCAGAGGTGGGCTGGCAGTGTCGCTGAACAACAGAGGGTGTCCTTCCTTCAGGACATGTTACTCTAAGGTTCATCACTGCTGACCAGATATTGAACTGTTCCCTTAGGGCGCTGCTTGTGTCTCTGAAAGATAGGGGCCACATTGGGGGAGGAGAGGGGGGAGCATATTTCACACTTTATCCTTGGCAGCTGTTGTGCCATATGCCATGATGATGGTTTTTGGACATTGGGAATCAGTGTCCATGTTCCATCCTGACATGATGACCAGAGAGGAGGATGCAGCTTTGGTGAATTATCAGCTTTAAGATCTCTGTCAGCCCCCTCCCCTTTTTGGCCAACGCAGTCACAGGCACGTCACATGGCAACCCCAGAGGTGGGACTTCCCAGCCCCCTTTTATGAGAGGACAGTACAAAACCACAGAGGATTCTTTTCCTTTCCTGCTCTCTTGCCCTTGCCCCAAACAGACCTCTTGCAACACATTTCTCTTGAGTTTCAGGAACTTATAGAGCCA